CAGAGAGCGGGGACAGGCCATCACCAGACTCAAACGAGAGAGAGAGAGAGAGAGAGAGAGAGAGAGAGAGAGAGAGAGAGAGAGAAAGAGGAGGAGAGGAGAGGGGAGAGAGGAGAGAGGAGAGGGGAGAGAGGAGAGAGGAGAAAGAGGAGATTCCAGCCCTGGGAAGCAAGGATAGCCTAGGCTCCAGAGTGGGGCGTCTCAAAGCAACAACAAAACAGAGGGAGAAAATAGAAGAAAACAGAAGTACCACAGCCATTTTAGCCGTCTCCCCTTCCCCATGGTGGGAACCTGGTGTGCTCAAGTCACTCGCGAGGTGGCTGTACCCATGCTAACCCAATGTCTTCTGAGGGAGCCTGTGGGCTCTGCTCCGGTTCCTGTATGCCTGTCACCTCAGGAGCTCAGGCAGGTGACAGATGTCCCTCCTTGGCACCTGAGGTGGACCTGCCTGTCTTGGGGTCTCTTCCCTCCCCCACCACACTTTCCTAATTGGGTCATTTTCCCCTTGAGGCTCTTGGCTGTATGTTGTCCACATCTGGGATCCCAGTAGGTGTTGACTGGACCAGCTGCATCACACAGTGGTCACCTGAGGCTCCCCTGGGGCACGACTGACCACCCCAGCACTCCCCTCAGAGCCCTGCCTACCTTCCTTTTCAGCCAGTCCTCACACCTGCCTCTCTGAGGAAGGGCCCCTGCTAACCCTACTCTGCTTCAGGTGGCATGAAGCCCCTCCTCTCAGGCTCTGATGTCCTGGTTGGTGACCGGAATGGCTCCACAGGCCCCCATGGGGGGTGCAGGTGCGTGGAGACTCACGCCCCGCCTTGTCTCCATTCCTAAGTTTTTTCAGTTCAGGCATCATGTGACCCAAAGCCACCACCACCACATCATGTAGCGCCACCTCATCCTCATTCTGCCATAAACCCATCCCATGAACCACCTTCCCAGTCCCCAGCAACCACAACTCCACTTCCTGTCTCTGGATTCGCCTGCTCTAGATATTTCCTGACCATGTGGCCTTTTGTGTCTGGGTCTCGCTGACCACCATGTCTTCAGTGTCCCTCCACACAGTATGTGTTGTTCCTTTTCATGGCTGAGTAGTACTCCACCTGTGTGCTAGTCTGGACTGTGCAGATTGCTCACCTGTGAATACTTGTGTCCTTTTGACCACTTCGGTTCATGTGAGTTTGAGTTTCTGTGTCAGGTAGGAGCTTGGGGAAAGTGGGGGATGTGAGTGCAGCTGTTACTGTCGGCTTGAGTGGTCCAGACAGGGTTATCTGGCTGGCACACTTGTGGACTCCATGCTGGAGCCAGATGGAAGTGAGCGGCCTGCTGGAAGCCAGGGGAGGGACTTGCCTTGCCCCTGCTTGGGATGCCCTATTGGGCCGCACAAGTCCCGAGGGCCCATCCAAAGCCTGCATCCATCCTGTGATTCCCCATGTGGGTGGGTGCGATGCCACACAGATGCCATGTTCTCAGCTGTTGTCTCCCTTATCACCCCCATCTCCCCCATCCCCATACACCCCAGGCACCCTGCTTCCCTCTGGGGCTGTATATCTGGTAACAACTCTCCGCTTGGTCTCCCAGGCTGCTGGGAAACCAGATGAGCTCACTCTCAGGAAGGAGCGGCCTCCAGCTGCATCGCATCGCATCGACAGCTCCACAAATGTGAGGCAGGATCAGAGGTCTGGCCGCCGCCCACCTGGTAGTTACGGGCATCAGGGAGCCAGAGAGAGGCACTCTTCCAGGAAGGCACAGGCTGTGGCCACTGGGGCACAAGCAGAAGTGGTCTGGGGACCTGTAGAGCCTGTGCAGGGTAGCTCTAGATGCACATTGACCTCTGAGCATCCCAGGCTGTGAGTGCCGCAAGGGAACAAGGACTCTGAGACCCCGTCTCTCCCAGATTGGGAGCCTGGAGTTTGTGCTGGGTCTGTGCAACCTCTTCCTGTCCCCGCACTGTCCTGGGCACCAGGTGTCCCTTGCTTTGTCTGTGCTTCCTGTGTCACTTGGCAGCTCCTTCTTGTGGGTTGGTAGAGCCACTCTGAGACCTCAGCCTGTTGTTTCCCAGAGCCAGTGCCCAAGTGTGTCATTATGAAGGGCTGCAGGCTGCCACCAACAAGAGTATATTATTATTTATTTTTATTGGTTTTTCTTTTTTCTTTTTTTTTTTTTTCGGTCTTTTTGAGACAGGATTTCCCTGTAGCCCCAGCTGGCCTAGAACTCACTATGTAGACCAGGCTGGCCTTGAACTCACAGATATCCGCCTGCCTCTGCCTCCTGAGTGCTGGGATTAAAGGCGTGCGCTACCACATCCACCTTTGTTTTTGTTTTTGTTTTTGTCTTTTTGAGACAGAGTCTCCTTGTAGCCCAGCTGTCCTGGAACTTACTATGTAGACCAGGCTGGCCTTGAACTCACAAAGATCCGCCTGCCTCTGCCTCCCAAGTGCTGGGATTAAAGGCATGCGCCATCACCTGGGCCTATTGTTTTCTTTTTAAAAATATATTTTTTGTTCTTTTTGAGAGAGGGTCTCCCTGTAGACCAGGCTGGGCTTGAACTCACAGAGATCCGCCTGCCTCTGCCTCCCAAGTCCTGGGACTAAAGGCGTAGGCCACCACACCCAGCTTAAAAACATTTTTTATTATTTTTATTTTATTTTATGTGTATGAGTGTTTTGCCTGAATGTATTTGCACCCATGTCATGCAGTGCCCTCAGAGGCCAGAAGAGGCTGTGGGATCCCCTGGAACTGGAGTTATGGACATTTGTTAGCCACCATGTGGGTGTTGGCAATCAAATCCAGGTCTTCAGCAAGAGCAGCCAGTGCTCTTAATGGCTGTCATCTCTCCAGCCCTATGGTTTCCTTTTTTGAGACAGGGTCTCAAATAGCCCAGGCTGGCCTCAGACTCACTTTGTACCTAAGCATGACTTTGAATTCCTGATCCTCCTGCTTCCACCTTCCTGAGTGCTTCGATGACAGGCCTGTATTACCACACCTGGTTTATGTGGAGCTGGGGGTGAACTCAGGACTAAGCTTATGTTGTACCCACTGAGCTACAAGCACTCTACCCACTGAACCCACTGAGCTACAAGCACTCTGCCTACTAAGTTACAGGCACTCTACCCACTGAACCCACCGAGCTACAAGCACTACACCTACCCACTGAGCTACAAGCACTCTACCCACTGAGCTGCAGGCATTCTACCAACTGAGTTACACTCTACCCATGGAGCTACAAGCACTCTACCCACTGAACCCACTGAGCTACAAGCACTCTGCCTACTGAGGTGGAAACATTCCACTCACTGAGCTACGGGCACTTCACCCACTGAGCACTCTACTCTCTGAGCCCTAGCTCATATTCTTTTGTTTGTTTGTTTGTTTGTTTGTTTGTTTGTTTGTTTAAATTTCTGATGGACTCTTTCTTTCTTTCTTTTTCTTCTTTCTTTCTTTCTTTCTTCCTTTTTTTTTGAGACAGGGTTTCCCTGTAGCCCCAGCTGTCCTGGAA